CCCAAGTAGCTGGGACCACAGGCGCCCACCACAATGCCCGGCTATTTTTTGGTTGCAGCCATCATTGTTGTTTGGCGGGTCCGGGCTGGGGATTCGAACCTGCCACATTAGGTGTACGTGGCTGGTGCCTTAGCCGGTTGAGCTATAGGCGCCGAGCCGCAAAATCTTAATGGTAATGGCCATCTATGAATGGATGAAGTATGAGGAATCAAGTTTTACATAAGTTTTCATGCTTTATTTTACTTTTGTGCATTTTCTAAGTTTTTTAAAAATTAAAAAAAAATTTTTTGTAGAGACAGAATATCACTTTATCACCCTCAGTAGAGTGATGTGGTGTCACACAGCTCACAGCAACCTCCAACTCCTGGGCTTAGGCAATTCTCTTGCCTCAGCTTCTCGAGTAGCTTGGACTACAGGTGCCCGCCACAACCCCTGGCTATTTTTTTTTGTTGTTGCAGTTTGGCCGAGGCTGGGCCCGAACCCGCCACCCCCAGCACATGGGGCCAGCGCCCTACCCACTGAGCCACAGGCACTGCCCCCTTTTCTAAGTTTTGCTGCAAAGAACTTACTTTTCTAACCAGAAAAAAACTATGTATTTTCCTTAGTTACAGTAATTTTCCCTGAGTAGTTTCTGTTTCAAAACATCTCCAAGGAAATTGGTAGGGATATCATGCCTAGAAAGTGTGAATTAAAATGAGAAATGGCCTGCTTTTCCCTTCTACTTGATGTTTCACTCCAGTCTACCGAGTGGGGCTGCTACAACCTCAGCAAAGAGTTCACACTGAGAAAGTAAACATGAGGGTGGCACCTGTGGCTCAGTGAGTAGGGCGCTGACCCCATATATACCAAGGGTGGCAGGTTCGAACCCCGGCCCAGCCAAACTACAACAACAAAAAAAATAGCCAGGTGTTGTGGCGGGCACCTGTATCCCAGCTACTTGGAAGGCTGAGGCAAGAGAATCACCTAAGCCCAAGAGCTGGAGGTTGCTGTGAGCTGTGACACAACGGCACTGTACTGAGAGCAACAAAGTGAGACTCTGTCTCAAAAAAAAAAAAAAAGTATCAAAACATGATGATCCCTTCAGGATCTGCCATTTTGGGGGCCGAGGTGGAGGGAATGAAGCCATCACAGGCCTGGCTTCCAGAGCTGTCTAGGACCATGATATTACTGCTAGGTCTCCCTTCCCAAAACAGAGGAGCATTCCTGTACCCCACACTGTGGTGGGGCAAAAGAGAATGGTCAAAAGTGGCCCTCTGGGGCAGCACCCTCAAGGAGTAGGGTGCTGGCCCCATATGCTGGAGGTGGCAGGTTCAAACCCAGCCCCGGCCAAAAAGCTGCAAAAAACCCCCCAAAAAACAAAAAAAAAACGTGGGCCCCTGGTCTCAGGCCATCTGGCTCACATCCTAGCTGGGCCCCTTAGTAAAATGTCATTTCCTCTCTTAGGGTGGTGGCAGTGAGATAAGAGGAAACGAGCTCATCTTAGATGTTCCCATGGCAAAATCTGATTATCCCTGGAGTCAGGAAAGGGAGAGGCCAAGGAAGACTAATTTTCTGGCCTTAGTGACGGGATGGCAGGTGGCAACAGCCCCCATGAAAGGGCCTCGAAGAAGGGACACTGGTTTGGACAGGGAAATGAGAGTTCTGTGTTGGATAGCCTGGTTGGGAAAGCTTATGGCACATCTAGGGAGGGAGGTGTCCAGAAGCAGAGAGTCTGGGCCTGAAGCTCAGAAGTCAGAAGCACCATTGACTTGAGAGTGAACAGCAGAAAGCCAGGGATGTAGCTGACACCTGGGAGGGCACAGAGTACAATATGGGGCCCTGAGACAACACCCCAGGGTCCTCAGCATTTAGGAAGGGTGAGGGAAGGATGAGAATTCCCTGAAGAGCTGGAAGGATTCCCAGAAGAGTAGAGTCTTGCAATGTGGTCAGCAGTCTTGACAATCTTGAAGATGAAGACAGACAAAGCCGGGAGGGGGCACCACATACCTGTGGCCCCTTTGTGAGCTGGTGTAAGATAGAGTATAGGGTTAAAAGTGCTAGGTCCGGCTCGGCGCCTATAGCTCAACCGGCTAAGGCGCCAGCCACGTACACCTAAGGTGGCGGGTTCGAATCCCCAGCCCGGACCGCCAAAC